CAATGACCGCGTTACTGACTTAGTGAGTGCAGCATTTCACTTAACAACCGTGGCAAGAAAGGTTGTAAAACAGGGCAAAACTCAGCAACCGTCTTGCTTCGCAATGGAAGTTTTGGACTCACTTGTGGTCATAAGTTGAGGACTTACGACCGGGTCGATTTGGCCTTGAAAGTCGTTTTCCCTCTCTTGCTTTTTCTGTTGGGACTCATTTCTTCCTGGGACGATCCCACGGGAAGGGAGGGGGGCTCCCGTACCCCTCCCCAACTTTCTCTTCCATCTGCATTGGCCACTACGGACAGTCTTCGGCCCATCATCACAGTGGAGCTTCAAAGTTACGTTGCTAAGTGAAACATTTCCTAAGTGAGCTTTCTTCGTCCCATTTCACGATTTTTCTGGCCCACCGTTGTTAAGGGAATCACTGCAGTTGTTAAGTGAGTCTGCCTCCCCCCTGTTGACTGTACTAGTTAGAACAGTGTTTCTCAATCTTGGCTACTTGAAGATGTCCGGACTTCAACTCCCAGAATCCCCCAGCCAGCATTCGCTGGCTGGGGAATTCTGGGAGTTGAAGTCCGGACATCTTCAAGTAGCCAAGATTGAGAAACCCTTGAGTTAGAAGGTTGCAAAAGCAGATGATGTGACTCTGGGACACGGCGGCTGTCATAAATACGGATCAGTGGCCGGGCTTCATGGATTTTGATCCCCGGGGTGTGTGTGTGTGTGTGTGAGAAGGATCCGTGGGTCGCATTTTTCACTGCCGTCGTTCACTTAAAAGAGTCCCTAAATGGATGGTGGTTAAGTCGAGGTCTGTTAGCCCCACTCTGCCCCATCTCCCCTTGGCTGAAACGGCCTCCTTCTCCTCTGAGCCAAGTGCCACGTCAGCCTTCTGCTGGGGGGGGGGGCTGCTGCCCTCCTGCTGCCCCCAGGACTGGGGGGGGGGACTGCCTGGCATGCATCCCTCCCTCTAGCCTCACCTCCCCCCCTCCAGGCTATGGGTGAAAGGGCAGGAGCGCCTACCAGCTCTCCTCCTCCTCCTCTTTCTACGCTTCTTCCTCACCACCTCTTCCTCCTCCTCCCCATTTTTCTCCTCTCCCCTCCTCTTTCTCCTTTCCTTCCTCTTTCTATCCTTCCAGCTCCCCTCCTTTGTATTCTCCCTCCTCCCCTCCTCTTTCTCCTTCTCCCCATCTTTTTCCTCTTCTTCCTCTTTCTCCTTTTCCTCCTCTTTCTACCCTTCTTTCTCCTCTTCTTTCTCTCCTTCTCTTTCCCCCTCTCTCATCTATCTTCTTTTTCTCCTCTTCTTCCTACTCTCCTACTATTCCTCCTCTTTCTCCTCTTCCTTCTCTCCCTCCTCTTTCTATTCCTCCTCTTCTTCCTCCCCTCCTTTCTACTCTTCCTCCTCTCCTGCTCTCCCTCCTCTTTATGCTCTTCCTCCTCTTCTTCCTCTACTCTTCCTCCTCTTCCCCCTCCTCTGCTTTCTCCTCCTCCTCCACTTCATCTACCGTTCTTCCTCCACCCTTCCTCCTCCTTTCTACTCCTCTTCCTCCCCCTCCCCTCCTTTTCTTTCTACTCTTCTTCCTCTCCTCCTTCTCTTTTTCCTCTTCCTCCCCCTCCCCTCCTCTTCCTCCACCCCCTCCTCCTCCTCTTTGGTAACACAGGACAGACACAAACACACAGACACACACAGAGGCCGGGAGCCCTCTGGGGACGCTCTGCCCCCTGTGACGAGGAGGCTTGGATGTTACCGCTCGGCCCTCCCATTGGCGGAGGAGAGTTGGATGATTCAACAGCAGGTGTAGCCGAGGCTGCGTTGAGCAACAGGCGGATCTAATTAGAGGATGTGGGGGGACGAGGGACAAGCCAGCCGAAACCCTCGCTGGGAAACCCAGCGCCCTCCCTGCCAGGAAGCCACAGCTGTTCTCTGCAGGGCCAGCTCAGGGGGGGCGGCCAGATGTGGGAGGGGGGAGGACCTCGCCTTGGTGTTAAATTAATTCCAGAAGTAGCGCAGAGAAGAGCAAGAAAGAAAATTAGGGGACAAGAACGGTTGCAGGAACTGGGAATGTCTAGTTTAATAGAAGGACCAGGGGAGACATGATAGCATCTTCCAATATCTCAGGGGCTGCCCCAAAGAAGAGGGAGTCAAGCTATTCTCCAAGGCACCTGAGGGCAGAACAAGAAGCAACGGGTGGAAACTAATCAAGGAGAGAAGCAACCTGGAATTAAGGAGAAATTTCCTGACAGTTAGAAAAATTAATCGGTGGAACAGAAATTGCCTCCAGAAGTTGTGAATGCCCCAACACTGGAAGTCTTTAAGAAGATGTTGGATAGCCATTTGTCTAAAAACGGTATAGGGTTTCCTGCCTAGGGAGGGGGTTGGACTAGAAGACCTCCAAGGTCCCTTCCAACCCCGTCATTCTCTTAAAGTGGGAAAGAGCAGGGGGGAGTGGGGCAGAAGGGGAGCCCTGCTCCAGGATTAAGACAGCTGTTGCTGATCCTGACTTTTCCATTTGCGGAAAGCATCTGTTCAACATTGCAGCTGGCTTCTCTCTCTGGTGAGTAGAGGTTGCCCCCACTCAGTGTGTGTGTGTAGTGTAGAATAGAATAGAATAACAGAGTTGGAAGGGACCTTGGAGGTCTTCTAGTCCAACCCCTTGCCCTAGCCGCCCACGGAGTTTAAATGCCATTCAAGAAGGCTGCGCACATGGATGCGGTTCCTTTTGTCAGTGTACAAGTAGGATAGAAGGACATATGCCTGTAATTGTCTGAATTAACAATTTCTGACCTGCCTGAAACGGTGCTCGAGCAGGGGGGTTGGACTAGAAGACCTCCAAGGCCCCCTTCCAACTCTATTATTCTGCGGCTGGCCTTCTTTCTCTTCTGGGCTAAAATCTTGGACCGGTTCCTCTGCACTGACACTAACTCGTGTTTGCCGAAAGTCTGGGAGTTGTTTGATTTTTTTCCCCAAGTGTGCAATAATTCAAACTTTGGATTCAGAGATAAGCTGGAGGGGAGGGGATTGCTAAAAATATCGGCCCGGCCTTCTTTCTCAAACCCCCTTTGTGACAACAAACCCTTTGACCTGCCGGGGTGTCAGGCTCAGCTGACACGAGTGCGAGTGATGCAATGTAGAACAGACTCCGGAGCAGCCAAACGATGTGCTTTATGCGCGGGGGTCTTCGAGCTTGGCTACTTTAAGACTGGTGGGCTTCAACTCCCAGAATTCTCCAGCCAGCTATGCTGGCTGGAGAATTCTGGGAGTTGAAACCCGCCAGTCTTAAAGTTGATAAGTTTGGAGACCCCTCCTCTATGGTTCCACCTTCTGGATGGGGCCAGGTTGCCCCGTAGGACAGTGTTTCCTCAACCTCGGCGCTGTTCAGGCTACAACTCCCAGAACCCCCCAGCCGCCGGGTGCTAAGTTTACCCTCCCCACCTTAGCAACTCTACGATGGGTGGACCTCAACCCCCAGAGTTCCCCAGCCGGCCCTGGGGCTCAGGACTAATCATGGATGGGTGGAAACAGGGAGGCTGGTGCCTGGTGCGGGCTCCATGCCCATGTCTTCCGAAAAGAAACCTTAGTCCGTCTCGTGCCTGGGGAGGCATTTTTCCTGGCAAGAGAAGGACTCCGGAGGCCACTTAGTCGGTTGCCTTGATCTTCTTCTCTTGGGAACTGGGGAGGGGGAGCAGAGGTAATTCCACAGGGGGGGACCTTAGCAGCTTTTCCTCCGGTTCTTGGTGTTTGCCAGAGTGACACCCGTATCTCTCCTCCCCCCCGGGGTTGTGTTTGCATTGGCGTTTTCCATAGTTGAGATAACCCCCAGGTCACCTTGGCCTGGCAGTTTAATTAACAGTGTTTGGACTTGACCTTAAAGGTCATCTAGTCCAACCCCCCTCCGAGCAGGAGACCTTACACCATTTCTGTCGAATGGCAGTCCAGTCTCTTCTTGGAAGCCTCCAGGGATGAAGCTCCCACAACTTCCAGAGTCAACTCCTGTAACGTTCCCGTGGTTCGTCCATGAGGCCAATGTGGAGAAAAGACACGGACACGATCTTTCTCGGGATGAGGCGACCCAGATTGGGGGTCTGAG